GTTCTCCAGCTGCCCTTGCGCTGCCATTCGCTGGGCAGCGGGGCTGCCCCCGCCCCCCGCGCCGCCCGGCTGCACTCAGGTAACTTGTGGCGCGCCCCTGCGTGCTGCGGCGCTGGACAGGACAGCAGCGATCGAGGGGCTCTGTGTGCGGGCGGGGCGGGAGGCGGCCCCTTTAACCTGGCTCCCCAGTACTGGGCTTACGTGCTTCCCTGAGCCCTTTTAAATCTCACCCGGGACTAACCCCGCTGCTTTTTTTTTTTTTTTTGGAGCTGGAGGGGGAGATGGCATTAAATCCTCTCCCCATCTCCACGTGGGTGTTGCGAGGGCGGTTGCTATTTTGCAGAGACAAGGCAAAGGTCTCCCGCCGCAGGCAAAGGGAGGTTTTCCAGACCTGAGTATTTTACATTAGGCTCCTGAAGCCATGTTCAGGGACGTAGATGAAAGTGCTTTGAGCAGGGCCCTTCCCTCTGTTCTGTTTGTACAGCACCTAGCACAATAGGTCCTGGTTCATGATGGGCTGCTTGGTGCTACCCTGACAATAATATCCAAAAGTTTCAGAGGGGTAGTGGTGTTAGTCTGTAAAGGTATGTCTAACCTACAGGATATTTTCGAAAGAGGATATGCAAATTATGCAGGAATTGCATATCTTCTTCTGATCACTTTTTTGAAAGCAGGTCTTTCGAAAGTGAAAGTAGTCTGGACATTTTTTTGGGGAAAAAACCCCTTTTTCGAAAAACCACATAAACCTTTTTTTTTAGGAAGAGTTTTTTTTTCAAAAAAACCTGCGTCCAGACTACTTTCCCTTTAGAAAGACTCGCTTTCAAAAAAGCGATCAGAAGATATGCAAATTCCTGCAGAATTTGGATCTCCTCTTTCGGAAAAAAAACCATAGTTTAGATGTACCCTAACTGGAAAAACTTAAACAATAACCAATAGTTTTGAAGCACCTTAGAGACTAACAAAACATGTAGAGGGTATCATGAGCTTTCATAGCCACAACCCGCTTCTTCAGATGGAATGAGCTTAAGGGGTCCAGTTTTCAAATAAATAGCACAGAAAAGGGATGGGAGGGAAGAGGAGGAAAAACTTGCCAGGCTCATACAGCTTCCTTTGATGGGGGATCCCATTGCTCAGCACCTTATCAGGGCAATCCTGGCCATGTGTGACCTGGAGCAAGTATAGCCAGAAAGCTTTGCTGTGACTGTTCTGGGCTGTGGGATGACTTGGGAAGGGTTGTATAGGCAGCACAATCATCATCCCTGAGGCTGTTGTAGCTTATTTGGGATCACATTGGCTGAGAATTCAGCAGGTACAAATGCTGAATGACGCCACCTTTGTTCCCTGCATTCCTCAGCTTATTCTTTGTAGGGGCACTTTACATCATCTGCCCAAACAAAAACAGACTAAAGCTAAAAGGGCTCACCTGGACCCGGAGGCAGGGCAGACCCCGCCCCTACTGCCTTTCTGGGCCTGCACCCAACTGAGACCAGGGGAAGCAAACCAGCAGGAGAGGTAGCTGAGGGGGCAGGAGTGCAGGGAAGAGATCCCGAGCTGGCATGGCCGTCCCTGGAGCCCGACCAGCCATCACCGCCAATGCTGGAGCAAGGTCTGTTGGTACAGACACTTGCAAGCCGCAAGCTTAATCACAGACCCCAGGACATCGCCACAGACGGGGAAGAGGTAGGAAGTAGCCCAGGGTGGAGGAAGGATCTCCAGGCAGTCGGTGTGTTCCAGCAGACTTCCCTGCTGACGGGACATGTTTACTGATATTGCTAATAGGGCCCTGGGCTGGGACCCAGTGGAGCGGGAGGGCCCAGTTCCTCCTACCTCCCCAAAAACCCCTGTAAGCGAGCCTGCAGAACTGTGAACAAGGCCTGGCTTTGTAGACTAGGCTGGACAGCCGTATTTACCCTAATAAAAGGGCACTACACTATATAGACTTGGCCAGAGGGCTGTATTTCCCCTGGTAAAGAGGCCCTAGATTGGGAGAGCCAGGCTAAAGTGTTTATGTATTCCTGGAGCCAAGTTAGATTTGTGCCAGGACCGGGGCCTGCCCTTTCACAGTGTGATCTCATCCCTTTCCCCCTTTTAAACTGAAAACGCCCTTTTTTTTTAATATATCTTTTACACCACTATAAATGCTAGAAGCAAAGCAAGGTTTAGGGTGCAGGTTGACAGTTCACAACCCCGTATGTAAGAATCTCATGACTCCATGAGAGGTCCCAACCCCAGTTTGAGATCCTCTGGTTTAAACATTTTTCTTGCTTAGCCAATTCAAGTGGCTGAGTGAATTTTGCTTAAACGTGCAAAAATAAAATTCACCGTTTAGTTGAGAAAATAAATATGGGAAGTTTCCGCTCAATTGGAAAGTTTTTATTTTGTTGGTTTTTTTTAAACTATAAACAAAGGTAGAGTAGGGTATAACAGTGGTTCATCCCTTACAAACTTTTAGTTCTTATGTGCTCTTAATAATATATGGAGTTCCTTTCTCTGGCATAGCTCCTGAAGAAAGACTTTAGCCCTCTTTTTCTCCCCAATTCTCTTAGGGTGCATCTACACAGCACTGTTATTTCAAGATAACTAGTGTTATTTTAAAATAAAAAAGCAAGCGTCTACACAGCAATTCCGTTACTTTGAAATAACTTCGAAATAACGGACGGCTTATTCCGAAATCTGTAAACCTCATTCCATGAGGAATAATGCCCATTTCAAAATAGCAATTTCAAAATAGAGCGTGTGTGGACATGGCAGCTGGAGTTATTTCAAAATAAGAAACCTCTAGGAAATCCCACAGGTGCCTTTCTGGCCACTCGGTCCACGCTCATCAAGACTCTATAGTTCCTCTTCTCCTACAGCCCTTAAAGCTGCAGCCACAGGGGAAAGGGCTTGTGGCAGGGAGCCGGGCCTGACAGCCTCCAGCCACACCGCAGCTGCCACACAACGCATCCCT